GTGGGGGGGGGGGGGTGCCCGGGGGGGGGAGGGGTGGGGGGGGGCTGGGGGGGGGGGGGGGGGTTTGAATTGGGAGGGGCAAAAGGCTGTGTGTGGGGGCTATGACCCAGAGACGTCCCCGGCTGGCTGCTCTGGGGGACAGGGCTGGTATTTGAGCTGGGGGGCAGGGAGGGCATGGGGGGACCTTGCTGGGGAGCGGGGCTAGGGGGGCTCCATGGCCATGGGGCTGCCCCGGAACTCTGCACTGACCCCCCCGGCTCCCCCCAGGTGTGACCAGCAGCCCTGGGATCAAGTCCCCCATCACCATCATCACCACCAAGGTCATGACCTCAGGCACAGGCGCCCCCGCCAAGATCATCACGGCAGTGCCCAAGCTGGGAACGGCCCACGGGCAGCAGGGCGTCACGCAGGTGAGCGGGGGGTTTGGGGGCGCCGGGATGGCCAGGGGGCCGCCCCCTGCCCCGGCCTCACCACCTCTCTCTCCCCTCCCGGCAGGTGGTCCTGAAGGGCGCGCCTGGCCAGCCCGGCACCATCCTGCGCACCGTGCCCATGGGCGGCGTGCGGCTGGTCACGCCCGTCACCGTCTCCGCCGTCAAGCCCACCGTCACCACGCTGGTGGTGAAAGGAACCACGGGTAAGGGGGCTGGGCGGGGGGCTGCGGGAGGGGGCTGGGCTGCAAAGCCAGCTCAGGGCACTGACTGGCTCTCCCTCCCCCCCAGGTGTCACCACCTTGGGCACCGTGACGGGCACCGTCTCCACCAGCCTGGCCGGCGCAGGGGGCCACAGCACCAATGCCTCCCTGGCCACGCCCATCACCACGCTGGGAACCATCGCCACCCTGTCGAGCCAGGTGATCAACCCGGCCGCCATCACCGTCTCCGCCGCGCAGACCACCATGACAGCCGCCAGCGGGCTGGGCACACCCACCATCACCATGCAGGTGGGGCCTTTCGCCTTTGTGGGGGGGGTACAGGGGTGGCAGTGGGGTACAGGGGTGGGTGCTGAGCACAGAGGGGCAGTGGGACACGGGGCAGGGAGGTACAGGGGGGCAGTGGGACGGGGGTACAGGGGGCAGTGGGCGGTGGGATAGTGGAACGTGGGGAAGGGGGCAGTGGGGTACAGGGGGCAGTGGGACGAGGGAAGGGGGGCAGGGGGACACGACGTCCGTGGGGCACGGGCCCAGCCCCTCACCCTGCCTGTCTCCCGGCCCCCAGCCCGTCTCCCAGCCCACGCAGGTGACGCTGATCACGACGCCCAGCGGGGTGGATGCTCAGCCGGTGCATGACCTGCCAGTCTCCATCCTGGCCTCGCCCACCACGGAGCAGCCCACGGCCACGGTGACCATCGCTGACGTGGGGCAGGGCGACCCGCAGCCCGGCACCGTCACCCTGGTGTGCTCCAACCCGCCCTGCGAGACCCATGAGACCGGCACCACCAACACTGCCACCGCCACCGTCGTGGCCAACGTGGGCGGCCTGACCCAGCCTGTGCACTTTGTGTGCGAGGGCCAGGAGACCGGGCAGCCCAACGGCGGGTTAGTGCGCGTCTGTTCCAACCCCCCGTGTGAGACGCACGAGACGGGCACCACCCACACGGCCACCACTGCCACATCCAGCATGGGCGCCGGACGAGTGTGCAGCAACCCCCCGTGCGAGACGCACGAGACAGGCACAACCAACACGGCTACCACAGCCACGTCCAGCATGGGTGCCGGACGAGTGTGCAGCAACCCCCCGTGTGAGACGCATGAGACGGGCACCACCAACACGGCCACCACTGCCACATCCAGCATGGGCGCCGGACGAGTGTGCAGCAACCCCCCATGCGAGACGCACGAGACGGGCACCACCAACACGGCCACCACGGCCACATCCAGCATGGGCGCCGGGCGAGTGTGCACTAACCCTCCGTGCGAGACGCACGAGACGGGCACCACCAACACGGCCACCACGGCCACGTCCAGCATGGGTGCCGAACGAGCGTGCAGCAATCCCCTGTGTGAGACGCACGAGACGGGCACCACCAACACAGCTACCACGGCCCGGTCGTTCATGGGGCGGGGGCAAGCTGATGGCAGCCTGGTAGCCCCGCCCAACCCGCCGTGCCAAACGCAGCACACCAGTGCCACCGGCACCACGATGTCGGCAAAAGCCGGTGTGCCCACAGAGCAGCCGTGCAGCACCAGGATGGCAAATCCACCCCCGGCGGTGCCTGGCACCAACGCACAATCCCCGGCGCCGGCTGGCCGGCCCTGTGAGGCTCACCAGACCCACACCACCAACACCGCCACCACGGCCCGGTCGCTCATGGGCCGGGGGCAGCCGGATGGTGGGCCAGGGGCAGCCGAGGGCCCCCCGTGCCAAACCCAACAGACTTGTGCCACTCACACAACCATGTCGGCCAAAGCGGACGTGCCCACAGAGCAGCCATGCAGCGTGAGGATGGTTGCGCCGGACACGGAGGCCGGTCAGCGAGCGCATGTCAATGACTCTTGTGAAACGGGCACCACGGCCACGTCGAGCTTGGGCACCAGGCGAGCGTGCACGGAGCCCCCATGCGAGACCCACGAGACAGGCACCACCACCACAGTCACGTCGAACATTGGCGCCGGGCGAGTGTGCAGCAACCCCCCTTGCGAGACCCACGAGACAGGCACCACCACCACAGCCACGTCGAACATGGACGCCGGGCGAGCATGCAGCAACCCCTCGTGTGAGACACACGAGATGGGCACCACCACCACAGCCACGTCGAGCATGGGCACCAGGCAACCGTGCACAGAGCCCCCGTGCGAGACCCACAAGACAGGCACCACTACCACAGCCATGTCGAACATGGGCACTGGGCGAGCATGCAGCAATCTCCTGTGTGAGACGGGCACAACTAACACGGCGACCACTGCCACATCCAGCATGGGCGCCGGGCAAGTGTGCAGCAACCCCCCGTGCGAGACGCACGAGACAGGCACCACTAACACGGCGACCACTGCCACATCCAGCATGGGCGCCGGGCAAGTGTGCAGCAACCCCCCGTGCGAGACGCACGAGACGGGCACCACCAACACGGCCACCACGGCCACATGTAACGTGGGGACGGGCCAGGCTGAGGGGGCCCAGCACGCCCCTGCCAGCGCGCCCTGTGAGACGCAGCCGACCACGGCCACCGGCACCACCATGACGGCCAGCATGGGGGGAGCTGGGGCCGAGCCCCCCTCCTCTGCCCCCCAGGAGATGGGGGGGGCAGGGCCCAGCCAGCCCCAGTCGCCTCCCACAAACCCAGCCCCACGCGTCTGCTCCAACCCCCCCTGCGAGACCCATGAGACGGGCACAACCCACACGGCCACCACTGTGACCTCCAGCATGGGTGCCAACCACGGTGAGCACGGGGGGCAGGGCATGGGGCCTGTCTCCTGGAGGGGCTCTGACTCTGATCCGCCCCATGGCTGTCCGCTCTAGGGGTCATGGCTCTAATCCAACCC